TTGTCATCTTCTTCTTTTTCCTTCCATCTTTCCCAACATTACAGCCATCTCCAGAGAGCTAGATCTTCACATAATGTGTCCAAAGTAGGATAATCTGAGCCTGGTCATTTGTGCCTTGAGTGAGAATTCTAGGCTGATTTGTTCAATGATCCATTTGTTTGTTGGCCTGGTTATCCGTGGTGTTCTCATGAGTCTTCTCCACATCAACACTGAAAGGCATCAATATTCTTTCTATCTTGCTTGTTCATAGTCCAACGTTTGCTTCCATAGAGTATCACAAGGAAAAACATAAACATATTTATATGAAAATAACTGTAAACTGTATAAATGCCTATTCAGTACTAAGATTTTTTTAATCTAAGGGATTCACTCACAGGTCCTCATATTAAGGATTCGTGCTTAAATCTCTGTAGCAGAATTTACATAGCATACTACATTATGGTTAGTTTAATCATGGTTCATTAAACAAAGTGTAGCCAGAATATTGTGCTGAACTAAAGGTATAACTACATTAAGACTAACTACAGTATACAATTACATTAAATCTTACTTTGATATATAAACCCAGCACTGGATTATTCCTAGTTTCACTTATTCCCAGGTAAATTAACATTGGTAACATACATACTTATTAACAATAAACTTCACTTATTCCCAGGTAAATTAACAATGGTAACTTACATAACTCCCATGTTACCAATTTAATTAAACATATTCATTAGGCTAGGAAGTAGACATTCCAGGCATATCACCAACTATGATACAATTGTGGGGATTATAATCCAAAACCTTATGAAGGAGCCTAGATTGTCTACCCTTGTATTAGGTTGTAAGTGCCATATAAAACATTGGGGCTTATCCAGGATTGCAGGCAACAAATTATGACAACTGTTGATTTGAAAACCAGTAATTTAATACCATCTCAACCCTACACATATATAAAATGTCCACTTAGAAGTAAAGCCCTTTGATTTCTCAGGGATTTGTATATATAAACAATTACATCCTACCCAAATCTCCAACTGTGATGAATGGTGCTGAATAACATTCAATACCTTGCTATATTGTGTGAAATTATGGAATAATTATGTCAAAAATAGTATTATAAAACACAGACTAAGCATGAGTCCTCCACTTGTTTTGAATTACAGCTCCCATAAACTCCAGCTTCAGTGACCGCAAACTGTAAGAGTTGTACTCCAAACCATAAGCTTATCTACTCCTCTTACAAGGAATAAAAACCGGGTTCAGACACTATACTGCGACATAATATGGTTTCAATTATGGATTATATAAACCCAGTTGCTGATAATGTAAATCATATAAATGGTTAGGGTTTAGGTTGAGAATTCCGGGTCAACTGTGTTTTTTCAGTAATACTTGGTTAAATAAACAGCAACAAAAGATTTATTACAAAGTGTGACCACCAGCTAACAATTTTCTTTCATGTACATTGGTCTATGCTTTATTCTTTTAGAATTACAGAGTGATTAACATCAACAGTTTACTTCTAAAATGTGTTTAATTTCTAAAGATTGTGGTTTATGATTTTCATTGACATTATTTTAATTTTATGCTAATCGTGAAAAAGATTTCTCTCGTTATCTTCTCTCTAACGCGAGCACGTAGTTCATACATCTGTTCAACTCAATGACCCAAGGGAAGCGGTGCGCGTTGTGAGGGGAGGAGGAGTGTACAAAGACGGACTCCAGACAATTGTCTAGCACCCGCGTTTTAAAGACGCCTGAGAGAGTCTGCGTAGCCATCCGCTTTAACCAATTAAGCCATCTTCGCGTTACAAAAAAAAAAAAAACTCTCCGTAAACCCATCGAAGAAGGCGCGGTCCCCAGGCTGTCCGCTGGCTGTTATTGATCCCTTTAAGTGCTTGCTAATGCCAATAAAGTATGCTCAACAGGGGCGGCGAGACGGATGAAGCGCTGCTGGCTAGAAAAGGCATTTTTTCATCAAAGGGAGCTTGGGCGAGCAGAACAGTATAGACTTGAGCAGCGGACCGCTAAGGGTTAACGTGATGGAGGAGGAGGAGGAGGAGAGACGGGGGCGTGGAAATGAAGGCGCTGAAGGGGGCGGGGAAGTCCCATAAAAGAAGCCGGCGTGTGAGAGACGCGCGGTGGTGCTCTAGTTAGAGTGGATGGGTTGCGTTACACTGGACGTCTATCCGCACCCACGTAGGCATTGAGGTTACCCCTCATCTATTAGTGTATCTCGCGCTTCCTGGGGCTGCCCCGCCCCCAGCTAGCCGTGAAATTTGGTTCTCGAGGGTTAGGGTTTGACTTGCGGTGAGCGCGGGAACTCAGTAAAGCTCGGCAGGCGACGCTCTGTGGGAGGCAGACAATTAAAAAAAAATCAGGAAACCACAGCCGGGGGCCTTTTCAATTTTAATTTTCTTCAACAGGGTGCCCCCAACATGTGCCGCACTTCCACCACATTTCGCCAAGGAGCCTTTACGCGTTCCCCAAAGAGGCAAATCCGTGTCGCAGTTCTACAAGCAATTTTTAGAGAAAACAGGCTCTCTTCCTTGTGCTTGCCCCAGCTTTTGGTTCTCAGGTAAACGGCCTCTGAACAGGGAGGCTCCATGTTGCTTTCAGGGGTTTTGGTGTCTCTCCCCCGCTCCCCAACGGGCAGTCCCTTTCTCGTACAAACATTCCTTCACAGTCTCCAACCTTTGAACGGAACGGCGCCTCTTTTCGCTCAGTGAGGAGTTGGCGGGAGCGCTGCCCCCACTTCTCCTTCCGAGAGGGGAGCAGCTGCGAATGTCGCTTGCTGGAAAAGGGGATTCGCTGCCGCTGAAGGAAAGGCTTCCCTCCGCCAGCCTGTCAGGGACAAACGGTCGCCTTCCCTCCTTTTATGGGGGAGGGGACCTGAACTCCACCTTCCCTTTTACCTGGGCAACAACAGCAGTCCCTGCGGTGGATGGGGCGCCCCCTCGGTTTCCCGCCCTAGGTCTAGGATTGCTCTTTCCTGTGGCGCGCTCGAGAGTCAAGAGCGGGGGTTGCTTATTTTTTTCTGAAAAGGGGGGAGGAGACGGCAGCGTGTGACAGATGCACTTTTCTGACAGCTCCCAGCTCAGCCTAGTGGCTCCCTGCCATTGGCTCGGTGCAATGGAGCGGCAAGGCTGCGCGCTATAATAGCGCCATGCCTGCGAGAGGCAGCAGTCAGACTCCTTCAGCGAAGCGAGAGAAAGATGCTACTACTGCCGCCGCCGCCCCCCTTCTTCCCCTGGCTGCTGCCTGCTCTGCGCTGAGAGAAAGAGACTGTGATAAATGCCCGCCGGCTCCTGCTGTCGCTAAGCTTGCCGGCCGCTCGGCCTCGCTCCCCGCCCTGAGAAAAAAAGGAGGGAGAGTTAGGCGGCTGCTGCTGCTGCTGCTGCTACCATCGCCTTACTTGGAGACAACAGCCGGAGGGAGAGCAGTACATGCCTCTGTGTATAGCCTGGTTTTTCCTGGATCGGCCCGCTCCTTCGCCGCTTCCTGGTCTTAGCCAAGCCGGCCAGTCCAATCTACCCCTCTCCCGGCGCCTTGCAGCCTGCCTGGACTGGCGCCCTCGGGGTGTATGGAAACAGCGGCAGCCCGCGAGGCCGCTGCTCCATGGAGTGTTATTACATTGTCATCAGCTCCGCGCACCTCAGCAATGGGCACTTTCGCAACATCAAGGGAGTTTTCCGAGGTCCCCTCAGCAAGAACGGCAACAAAACTCTGGTAAGGTGTTTGTTTTCTTTCCTTCCCTCCGTTTCTCTCTCTCCCCCCACCCCCTCTTCCGCCCTTTACATCTGGGTGCTTCGTCTGGACTACTCGGGATTCAGCACTCCGGAAACCTGGACAGTTCAGAGCGGTGCGCTTTCCTGGAGAGTCTGTGTCGGTTTCTTGGAGATTATTCTTCCTTAAGCGCAAAAAAAAAAAAAAAAAAGAGGAAGAAGAAGAAGAAAATGGGTAGTTTGTACAGAGTTTTCCAATCGGATTATTTATGTTTGTGTAGATTCTTTCTAGATAGGACTTTGATTTTGGTCTAGTGTATGATAATCCAGTAGACCCTTAAACGGAACAGGGTATTGAAAGGAACACCAGTCCATTCGAGCCCTCTTACTCAAGGTAGAGTGCTTAACAAGCTGTACATCTCCCTGGTAGAGAAGACCATGCATTCTGGGTCTACTTTGGAGGGCACCAGCATTGTCCAATTTGAATTAAGGGGTCAAGGTATTCAGAGAATAAAGGAAAACAACAAAATTATTTGAGTTTTTACTGGATGGTTATTCAAGAATTATGATGGCTGGAAATTCAAAACATTCTGTTTTCATTTTTCACTGTTGATAAGAATGGGAAGACTTAAAGCTGCTTCCACATTTTCTCACAAGGGAAATAATTTGATGTTTGTTAGAGTACTTTAAGACTGTACTTCCACACCCTTTCATTAGGGAGTTGTCCCCTATAAATCATGGTGGGACTTCTGAGTACATGTAATATAATAAGACTATTGGTCACTCTTGTGGGATGGCCTGAATTCAGAATGCACAAAAAGATACCCCTAACTAAAGGGGAGGGGGTATATTCATGTTGCCAACCAAGTTATTTCGAATGTGCTTTAAAGTGCCTGAAACAATTGCAATTGGGGAAAAAAATCTTCAAAAATTTGTTCTTTTTTTTTTTTCTTCAATAGAACACTTGAGATATAGGGATTAAGTTGTGGACTTCAGAGGAGAGGGATAAAGCTCAGTAGGGAAACACAAGCTTTGCCTGTGGAAGGAACCAAGTTCAATCTCCTGCCTAAAACCCAGAGATCCATTGCTGGTCAGGGGTGATATTACCAGTCTGGTCTATTTCCATGAAGGACAATGTCAGTTAATATCTCAGATATATATAGAGATCCTTTAGAAGTTCCATAATGGATACATATTTGGAAGTAAGGTAGAACAATTCTGCTTTCTCATCACTTTTTCATTCTGAAACTTTTCTATAAGAACAAGGTATAGGGAAATGTAAGGCATGCCTCTCTTACAGGAAGATTCCTCTAAGATTTACTAGCTTTTACTCTGTAAATACAATGATTAAGCAAAGCTTGTGGTAAATTCTAAATAGTTATTACCAATAATGTTAAAAGGATTTGTGTGTGAAATACATGGTTTGTTTTCTGCACCCTAGAGATTTCAAAATCTTTTCTGCAATATTATCTATTTTAAATTCTCTTTCATTCATGTTTTATCAAATGGACAAATGAAATCTATCAGAGGGATTGTGTGTACATGTGTGTTTTTGTGCATGCACACATATATTAATTAATTAAAACTAAATGGTACATTACTTGCCAAATTGACTATTGACTCTTATGGGAAGGAATGTCAAGAATGACCCATTATTTACATTCTGCTGCATTCTATAAGCAATTGTTACCTGCCTAAATTCATTTAGTCTATGCCAGACTTGACCATCTCTTTCTAATGTCTCATTCATTCATTATGAAGGTACATAATTTGTATAGTTAATGCAACTCCATCTCTTTACTATTGCTATTATCCTATACATAATTATTCAACAGGAGGCCCCTATAAAGCCAGTGGTGTGCATGTCCTAGCAAGTGTTCTAAGTATCTCAGTCTAAGGTGCGCTCAAACTCCAGGTATCTGTTGAGAAATCCATTAGAGTGGGAACTACTGTGACTGTTATTTTCATCAACTTGGATGGAAATTATACATCACATAGTAATGGAGGATTATACCTTCAAGTTGACATGAATTTGGAAGTTATTGTAAAAGTTATATTTGAATTCTTTTGAAATCTCTACAGTGTCATGTGGATCACATTCTAAACACATCTATTTCATTCTGCGTAGTGAATACTTAGGAAACTTCAGTAGTTGCTTGCTTTTGGCATAACTGGGAGCAAATCTTATTTTTTTAAAAGGATACTTAGTATATACTTATTTAGAAAAGAAATCAATAATTGAGTACAGGGATATTATTTTCTGAATTTATCTAGGTAAATCCCTACATCTGACTTTGTATTGGATTTTGGGGGAGGTGGGAGTGGGGGGTTTAAAAATTTATTGAAAGTGATACAGCAAACTTTTTAAAAGGTAATGGGAGTGAATTAATATAGTCTAATGTTCTCAGAAATAAGAAGCAGAGAACAAATGCAATTTTATTTCACAGAGTCAGTTAACCTGCATATAAATGTGCTTAAAGTTATGTAATGCAGAAAATCTTATAAAGTATAGGGGATTTTCAGTGAGAAGAAATACATAGACCATGTAACTTTGAGTGTGCATTGTTTCTTCTATTTTATATAACAGAACAAGTTTGGCTTAAAAGAACCCAAACCAAAACAAAAAGCTATAGTTCTCACTCAATGAACAAGAACTTATGAAACGTAGTCTATTAAAAAAATCTAATCTGCCTCAATTTGTATATTAAAACAAGATAAAAGCTTTGTTTGTTTTTTTAGATGATTCATATCCCACCAGGCCTCATCTTAGAAGATGCTTTTCATTTCATGTGAGGAAGAAGACAGAATGTCTCTTGAGTGAGTCCTTCCACTCAGGGGGTTGTTTGTAAAAACTTTTATTAAAGATAATTACAGATTTTAACATATGCTGTCTGATTAATTTGGAGCACTATTAAAAAAAATCAATCGGTTTTTAAAGGTAAAAATGTCTTGAAGCTTGACTTCCAATGACTGCATCCATACAGTTTCTTTGGCTTCAGTTGCAGCCCCAAATGAAGAATATAACTTGAAATTGTACCCCTAAAGTGCACTGATAATCAGCATTAAAAACCCAGAGACGCTTTTAGTGAACATCTTTGTGAGACATGGAATATAGTGAGAATTAGCCATTTTTTTCAGAGTCCATGCAGTAACTTCTGTCACTAACAAAGTCTGGGCTTAGGTTTTACCTGGAGGGATTAAGGAATTCCATCCCACTGTGAACACACTGAACAAGTGAGTTGCTCAAGGAGAAATGCTTCATGACATTAGCACAATATAATCAATTTTATAATGTCAGCATCATAATGTTTTCCTGGTGTATAAATCAATATGTTGCTAGAAAGCATCAATATTGGAAGTACTAGTGTTACGATTATGTTTTAAAGAATAATTTGAAAGGTAAGGAAAGGACTCTCAATGAATAATATGAAAGTTTTTCTTTTTTCCTTTTTCCTGTCTTGTGCAATTTATTTCATTGGCCAAAAGGGGCCACTGCTGAGCAGCTTATCCCCTGATCTTCAGCTCACTTTTTCTCCTTTTAAGCAATGTTGCTATGTGTGTTACGGTCTTCAAAGTAAGAGGTGTAAAGGAATGAGTTTGAATAGCCAGCTGATACTAGAAAAAAAGCAAATTTCAAGTATTACATTTTTCCCAATACTGTAGCTAGGAAGAAAGGCATATGATGCTGGAATTGACAGGTAAGACAGCACTGAAAATATAGTTGCTGAGCATTAGATGCCAAGAATGGAACATGCACACATAGATAAAACTATTTGTGAAAAGTATAATGTGAATATCACAAAAATTTCAGCTCTCACAGGAGCTGTATGAAGTGGTTGCAAGAAGAGTTTAAAGAACAAAGAAGCTGGTTGTGTAAGAGATAATACCTGTAAGATTAATATGAAAGACACTTGAGACTAAAAAAAGGATCTAAATTAAGAAAACAAGAAGTATGCACTCCACTAAAAAAGCAATAGAGCTGAAAAAAATAAGACTTAGAAAAAAACAAGCTGATGCAAGTCAAACTTCTTAGAGTGCAATACTATACATGTTTACTCAGAAGTAAATACTATTGATTTCAGTGAGGCTTGCTTCTTGATAAATGGGAACAGGTTTGCAGCCTAAAGGAGCATGACATTGAATGCAAGCTTAAGATGTAGATAGTTTTATGTTATAAGGCTAGAATTCTCTATACGTGTAACTTAGCAAGAAAGAGCAAGAAATATGATGAAATCTCCCCTACATGACATTGTCATTTACTGCGTCATTATTGAGAGTGTGCTGTAGTTGACAAGAATGTGTATTATGGAGGAATAATATTTTTTTCATAATAATATCAAATAACATTAGTCTCTCACAGGTCCTTGGGAAGGACTCGACAGGTGGATAAAAATGCCAAATCCAGTCTAAACATCTGGCTGACTGTGCAACCAACCATAATAATCATAATCATAATTTTCCAAAATAGCTAGAAATGTGTCAAGGGATTCCATTTTATAGAACCTCCCAAAATTTAAAATGTTTGGAAGGGTGATCTATAACATAGAAAAATGTATGACATGAAATCAAATTTGAGAGCAATTGATGAGAGAAATCATAGCTCAAAGTAACTGAACAAAATACTTTTTAAAAGTTTCAAAACTCTTCTTGGCCATACTATACATACCTGTTGTCCATTAATAGAGTAGAAACATCAGGTTTGGCTATTGGTTCTGACCAGTACAGCTACAGAGATTTCTCCATCATCTTCTATTTTTCCTTTTAACTGAAATTACTAAGTTTTGAAGTAGGAACTTCTGCATTCAGGGGCAGGGTTTCTTTTGAACAATAGTGTGCTTTTATAAGGATAAATTTGTAAGAGCGATTAATTAGTTCCCTGGAAACTTCAGTTAGGATTATTTTGCAGCTTTAGTACTTGGTCTTTTTTTTTTAGATTCAATGAACTGGAATTGTGATAGTATTTAAAATTGCTCTTGTATTTCCCATCACTTGCTAGTACTGACC